CCGGGTCCATCTTAAAACTAAACAACTTCTCCAACAGGTATATTTTGTTAGGTAAAGTTTTAGTTAAGAACAGGGCATCTAAAGCAATCCACAAAGCTCTGGCAGTTTTCGCACTATCAACTTGTCTCACAATATTGTCAGATAGATGCAAAATTATATAACTGTAAGCAATTTCATTCATATCTTCAATTTCAGTTGTTTTAGCTTTTAACTCATCAGAAAATGTAGCGGGATCATCAAGAGCTTTAGCAATTCTCTGTTGGACCAAAATGGCCCTCATTTTCTGTTTCCATATCGAGTAATCCCCCTTTCCATCGAATTGCGATAATTCGACCCTCAAACCTATTATAGATTCTATAAAAGAGTGGCCTGTACTCGTGGACACAACAAAAAAGGTTTTGAAAAATTCTTTTCCAGATGATCAATATAAAACACACAACAAAAAAAGGTTTTGAAAAATTCTTTTCCAGATGATCAATATAAAACTGAGTACCGAGTTTAAAAAAAAACAATTTTTAGAAATGAAGCACAACAGTGAAATAATCCGTTCACGAAACACAGGTATATAAAGCAGGTAAATATGCTTCCAGGTTACAAATTAATCACAAGAATTCAATCAACAGAATTCACAAATAAGCAACCAAGCAATAACCATGCATAAACCGGTAAGGATACCAAACCTAACCTAACGGAGAGTTTGGAATAATCTTACCAAACTACTGTTGACAAACAGTAAATATACCACCAAGTTTCTGAACCAAATTGCCGTAGACGTCAAGGTAGGGGCAAAATCGTCCAACTTTTTCTGTAAAATCTGAAACAAAAAACAAACGACATCAGTGCGTTCAGGACGTCAAAATAAGTAAACTGCCTGAAAAAAGCTCACCGGAGGTCCGACCACGCTCCGCCGCCGCCGGTCACGCGCCCCACCACAGGGTGCGCCTTCTCCTGCTGGTCATGGTTCCATGGTCCATTTCGTCGGAAAGTCAATAGGTTGGCCGGAAATCAAGTTTTTTCAGATTCGGTTAAAAATGGTAATGGCGATTCCTTGCTGATTTTTGATCGATTTTGGACTAATATCACTCCTCCTAGCTCTGATACCAGTTTGTTGGGGATCCTAGGAGTTCAATCAACCAAAACAACAATCAACAAACAAGATTCAAGGCAAAAACAAGAAAAATAGAACCGGAAGAATACAACCCCTTCTTGGCCGAAATCTGTCCAGCTTTCCTCCCTCGTTTCAGCAGCTTCTTCTTCGATTTATGGGTGTTTTTCCAGGCTCAGGAACAGCCCCATGCTATGCCAATTGCCTTCCAAAGAGAGAGGGGAAAAAATCAATGAAGAACCACCACCCTTTTCTATGAAAACCGAGAACTCCTCCTTCTGCTGGGAAAATTATAGAGACCGAGAGCTGCTCCTCTATTTAAATGGTAGAGAGTACATCTAAAGGGGAAGGTAGGAAGACCATGCCTCTGCCAAAATGTGGAAGACCTTATTGTGTCAACCTCACTCCCATCAAGTCACAACATTGGGTGGGGTTCGGTGAACCATATCCTCACAGATAGGCACAAGGTACGAGGCTAAATGACGTGAGATAGGAAGGAGAGGAGTCCATCAAGAGCTATTTTACACGTTTTAGCACTGAACTTATAGCTTGTGAAACCATATCAGACGAGAAGGTTTGGGGATGCTTTATAGAACATTTTATTGATTAAGACTCATTCCTTGCAAGATGGTCGTACAAAAAATCCAGCCAATTACCATCAACTATTGAATTCGATACAAAATAAGCTATAAACATAAGATATAATTGAGAGCATGAAAAATATAGAGCAAGGTCGTATGAAAAAACTCGAAGATAAAATGAAGACCTCAATGTACGTACCTAGGTTGCCAAAATAATAGTATATTTGCTTTGACAAATACAAAGGAGCCTGAATATAATCTCTCAAGCTCCTTTGTAAATTATTGGGAAGTAAGTAATTCATCTTCTAAAATTTCAAAGATGAAGTTTTGTAAAATTCATCATACCAGGGGTCACGATGCATGTGAATGATTTGAAGTATTCAAAATGGCAAATTTGTGAATCCAACATGGAAGTGTGTGCAAAGTTTCCAATAATCAAAAGCCTTTTTATTCGAGTACAAGAGGATCAGGTCGAAGAGTTAGGCCAAGATATGTACAGACATCACATGCACCAATCAATGGCCTAAATTTTAGACATTCGATAAGAGAGATAAACACCATAATTGGAGCTCTTTAAGTCAATGGAAGAATAACGAATGCACAGAGAAGTTATGTTGAAGTCGTTAAGAAACATACGTTAGAAAATTTCTAGATTCAAGGAAACCCTAAAATTGTGTTCCTTCCGATTACATTTAATAATGATGATGAGATGGAGTATAGATGCCTATGGGTACATTAGTGGTATGTATCAGGGATGTAAAGTGTGACACTTGTGTAATGCTCCGAAAATTTTATTTTATTTATGATTAATCATTATTGTCTTGGCTTTGGGGAGGGGATTACGTGTCTTAGTTCAAGAATAAGGTTTGGGGGATCTAATTGTCTGACTTCCACCTCATTTGATAGATCATGCACATGTATTTTAAGGGAGCAAAACTTGCCTTAGTGCTAGAATTTCATTCAACCTCCCATAATAAATATTACAGTTAATCAATAATTATAGAAAATTTTGGGGATCATTACCTAGAAATATCAATTTAATTTGCATATGCATGTGACTTGTAATATTTTTACATTTACGACTGGGTAGTTTGTAATTAACAATGCCCTTAAATATCTTCTTTCATATTAAGTAAATTTCTCACAAATTGCTAGACTAATGGTAAGACACGATTTGGGCATCTAACAAATTATTCTACATCCCCATCAAAGTTAATTATTTTGGGTATATAGTCCAATTAAGCTTGTAATACATTATATAATTATTTATTTCATTTTTATATGATGTTATGTTATTATATGATAACCTGTCATTTTATGTAAATTGATGCAAACTTGATTATTCTTATATTAAATAGATTCTAATTAATTTAACTTGATTGATATCCAAACAAGGAGTTTTGTAATTGGACTGATTAACGGAACTAATTGACGAGATTTTGTTGGTTAGGTTGCATCTGTTATTTATTTGATATAATTATTTTACCGTGAATAATTATATTTTTACAGTTAAACGTATCTTGGACGAACGATCGACGTGCCTATTAATTTAATTACGATATGTTTATAACTTTATTATAGTAGTTATATTTATATGTTATTACATGCTCACGATTCGTCTCGCTTTAGGATTCAACTTAGAAATCATATTAAAATATTGTCTCTTCTCAATACGTGTATTTTGTATCATTTAATGTAAAAATAGCATGTGGAGAACATTATAATCTTGTAATTGGTAAATACTAATTTAAAGTGTTAATCAAGTAAGTGAGGTAAATTTGGATGTTAAAAATTAATTAGCATAAATTGTGCCTAATTATCTATAATCATTAGGTCGAAAATTAAGACTTCTTACCTAGATTGACCACTGCCTTTTAAATGATTTATTAGTATAAAACGGGGCCTTGCTAAGTGATTAGCATTAATTATACTTATGAGACGTCATCAGTTTAAAATAATGTTTTCCTATGCATATTTACTTTTGCATTGGATTTCACTCACTTTGATCAGCTACACATTCACATCTTCACAGTATCCAAAATCTTGATTTTTGCTTTGCAATCATCAATCAACTCATGATTTATCATAAAATATATTTTCGATAATTTTCTCGGTATATAAACTCGGCAACGGCGAAAGGTTTTGTGAATGTGAATTTCCTAGTTCCAACAATTTTATTGTCAAAAGAGGTAGGATACTTTGTGCAAGTGATATGTCCTTTCAATATTATGATTTTCATGTGTGATTTATTTCATGAAATGCTTATTGACCTGCGGGTCCAATGAAATGAAATGAAATGAAATGTTTGACCTGCGGGTCTCAAAGAAATGAAATGAAATGTGAGATCGCTTTCGGGTCTCCTCAAATGTACTAGAGCTTTCGACTGATCACCGATTGCTCTTGATGAAATGATGGTATGAAATGTTATGAATTTACGTTTTAAAAGTTATCATATTGTTCGGACGCGCGTATCCTACTGAGTGAAATTACTTACTCCTTTAATTTCAACATTTCAAATCAGCAGGGTCGACGTGGAGGTGGTTGAGCGATGCGCGGGTTGCCAAGTAAAGAAATTGTTTTTCAAGAAATCATTCAAAAACAATTTCTTTAGGCTATTTTGTGTCTCTCTTCAACAGCCTTTAAATTTACTAGTTGGTTGTGTAAAAAAACATGTTATTTGATTTGTTTGTTGATTGCATATATTTCCATGATTTAAATTTAATTTATGAATGTTCTAGTATCTTGTTTATTTAAGAATTTTATTCTTACCGTTTGGTACTTAAAATAAATAAAAGTAAGTTTTTGGTAGCGGCCCATACCTATTTTTATAATAAAATTTGGGGCGTTACAATTTGGATCATGAGTGGAGGTGCGTAAATGTCTGGAATTCTTTATTAGTGAAGACCATGGTTAGGTAAAGTGTGAGAGTGACACTTCTGTCACTTCCATTAGATGGAGACCTATTATCTACTTAGGTTGGAAGAAGTGAGGTAGTGATAGAGGATTATCCCAAGGACTTTGAATTTATTGTGATCTACAATATATATGTTCTTAGGGATGGCTCAAAATCTGTCATATCCGTTACTCGTGGGCCCCGTTCGGAACGACACTGCGATTACATACTTAATTGGGTAATTGGGTCGGGGCGTGGTCGGGGATTCAACCCCATAACAAGCACGGGTGACACAGCCAAGCCTCGTCCCATCCAATCCCTATCCCATTTTAATTTTTTTAAAGAATTCAATACTTTAAATGAAAAACTCCACGAAATTTTATTAATTCTAATAGAAGATGGCAATTAAGATTATTTAAAGAATATGATACACAATAAAAACCTTAGTTTACAAATATATTCGAATAATTTAACTTTTAAAAATAAATAAATAAAATAAAAATTTTAATAACTATATTATTGTTCACTTTAATGAATGGGGACAATAAAATGAATTATCAAAACTTAAAAATGGGTACTTAAATGGGGCAAACACCTGTCCCGCCCCGCCCCGCCCTGCCCCGCCTAAAAACGAGTAACAAGGTGGGAAAATGCCTAGCGGGACGAGGTGGGAGAACCTTCTTTGCTCGTTGCCATCCTTGTGTTCTCAAGGTAAGACCAACGCGAAATGTGATAGGATAAGTGTGATGAGATTTTTTGTGAGTCATTTATGTATTTGTTGTATATGTGTTTGGTCATTTTGATTGATTAATTTGGTGTTAATATGTTGTTTGTGAATATGTTTGAAAAGATCTATGAGTTAATCTTATATTTTATTTTCATCGCATGTTTGTATCCTCTTGAGTGATTACTATGATTATCTCATTTTACTTGGATGTTTCTTTACCTTAGCCCTGTTGAGTGTATGGAGCATGTATGATACGTGTTTTGGATTCGAGACATGAGGTAAGTTTTGTGATACCAATTTTATTTGGTTGCTTGATTATGCAAGTATAAACATTGTGTTTTAATTACTTGCAAGTTGATATGGTATCAAAGTGGACATTAGTTAGGTTTTGATACCCAATAAATTCGGCCAATGATTTAAAATTAATACCGAATAATTTATAGACACTATAATGCTTGGCTCAACCTGGAAACAATCAATACACTTTAGATTGGCCCAAATTGTGTTCAGGTTTTAGTTGTCGTGTTAGCCCACTTAGTTGGTGATCCATTCTTTAGTTTGTTGGGCCAGTTGAGCGAAAGTGTCATTGGCCCAATTATTGGTAACCTAAAACAATGCTATATATCACTTATTCTTCCTGCCGCGAGTTTCTTTTAAGTGTATTGACGATAGATGAGAGTTTGTGAGAGAGGTAGCGGACTTGGTCGAGAGAAAGATTCAACCATTGCTCGTTTCTTTAATTCTTCCTTTCTTTCTGATATTGTAGTCAACACAATCTTTAGCATCCTTTGTGGGTTAGGGTTAGTAAAGGACATTTGGGGTGTGTAAGAGAGGCAACGAAAGAGTGCAAGTTATGGGTCGAGTCTTAGCCTCGGTTGGTTTCCGTTTGATGGTTTTTCTAAGCATGAATTCAAGATCTCTCGAAAGTTTCGCAACATTATTAATAAAATCGAAACCCTCAGAAAAATATTAATTGCAATGAATTTAAATATTTTAAGATTATTAGGAATGTTTTCATACATAAATTTAACATTGATCAATTCAATGTCAACGACAATTACACCATTAATTTAATTACTTGAAAAGTTCAGTTAGGGAAGTGCGTATTCTAGATTAAGAGCGCGTCAAGACCAGTACAATGAACTGAAATTATGTAAGAATTTTATAAATTAGTTTATTATAAGTTATTGAGAGTTTGATTTCCAATGTAACGGTGTCCACGGCTGCGTGGACGCGACAATAGGATGAACAAGAGTCCTTGTTTTATTCTGTAAACCTTTGCAAAAGACCAAAAAATATGGAAAAAGTGTGACAGATTATTGGTTAAGACGAGTGTTTTCCAGTACTGAACTCGAAAATAAAAACATGGACGTTTTGCCTTTAGACCTTCATTGGAAAATTAGCATTCCAACATTAGTTAGTCTAATTTGGGTCGAATCACACTACATGTAAAATTTAGTTTGACAATTGGTTGACAACTCACACTTGGCAATATCACGTTCATCTATTTAAAAAATTATTTTTTAAATCAATGACTCATATTCTGACAACACCAGCATTGTCAATCATTATTGTACAAATAGCATAATTGAATCGACAATACTGGATAGACAAGGCCATAGGGCGCTGAAATGGCACCCCCTATTGAAGGGGGGCGTCGGGCCCCTCCTATAGGGGGCCACCAATTAGGCCCCCTATTTGGACATGTCCAGACATAATTATCCTAATTGATTTTGGGTTTGTTCTTATCTTCTAGTAGTCTAATTTGAATATCACTTAGGACCTGTTTGAAAGCATGGAATTTCATTCCCATAGAACTTCAATTCCTTTTTTTCCATTTTTTAGTTGTTTAGTAACATTCTAAATTCCATGGAAATCAATTCTTGCTTTTGTTAAAAGTTGTGCAATTCTTGGTTTTTATGGAATTTCAATTCTCAACATATATGGTAAGAATTGGAATTCCAAATACTGTAGCCAGTTTTTTATTTTTTTTTGGATTTTTTTTTTTTGTAATAGAAACAAATTCTAAGAATTATTATAAAAAAATATTTTTATTTAATTGACAATTTCTATGTAAAACAAAGCCAAACAAACACCCAAAGATAGATGATTTTCTTGAATTTTTTTTTTTTTTTTGTTTTGACAATGGAAACAAATTTCATTTCCAATACCAGTAAATTTCATCCATTTAATTGACAATTTTCATGTAAAACAAAGTTAAACGGACATAAAAAAATACTTTTATTTTAACATTTTTCACGTGAAAAATTATATCAATCAACACAATAATTTACATTTTTCCAGGAAAACAATTCTAGGCAATTCAATTCTATCTTTGCAATCAAACGTATCGTTATCATACTTAATTATAGTCAACCCTCCAAGTCGTTGAAAAATGATGATTTTAGAAAGGATAAAAAATAGGAAAAATAAGGTTCTGATCTTATCATGCTAAGTCAAAAACAATTATTTTTAAATTTATAAACAAAGTCAATCACTCTCTCTCTAGATTTTGTAATTAATAAAAATTGAAATAAAGTCAAACACACTGTTGCAGAAATATTTTTTTCAAAATTACGCTTTCTGTTAGTATCATTCTATATGGAAAAGATTAAGATAATGTAAGTCACTTTCGTACCTCAAGTTTCCGAGCGATCATCTTAAAGTATAGAGAGATTTCAGTTGGAAGAATGTTCAAGGATAAGTGTGAATGTCACAGTGATATAACTGTTGAAAAATAGATAAAAAGTGATGAAAAAGAGGATATAAACTGTTGACCCTGCATTTTGGACCCTCCACGTGGCCAACGGTGAGCTACTCCATGTGTTCCCCTTGCGTGCAACGACAAACGGCAAAGAAATCGGGTAACTGCAAAATCGCAAGGATGGATATGGATTTCTTGGCACACTGTGTGAAATTAAACCTAGATCTGAATGTGAAGAAAGTTGCAAATGTGATTGAATGGGAAATTCTTCAAATCATTGGTAATTTTTTTTTTTTTTTTTTCCTTCCAAAAAGTCAGACTACGCTTTGGGATTTTTTTGACAAGATAATCGAGAGTGTTGAGGCATGATTGGTGGAGTGATTGGAGCCATGGAATCAACTAATTGATGAGAGATGCATTTTTTTTCTTTTTACTATTTTAACTATACAGAATGCAGCATTTTTGGTTTAAAAAATATTTAATAGTATAATTTGAATATTAAATAAATTCTTTCGAATGTTGCGTGTGACTTTCATTTCATTCTGTAATTAGATTAAAAATAAATTCTTCTTTGTTCTAAACTTTCTGCTTGTTTATTTGCTTGGAGTTGAATATATTAAACTGATTATTTATACGATTGTAAACTTTATGATCTAACTTGTTGCTGGAATAATGAGTTGCAGTTTTCCTTCTATTATTGGGAAGCCAGCAAAATACAAGCTGGCCATGTTATTTTTATAAGTTTTTGATGGAAGAATTAAGAAAAAGGAAAAACTTGGGAGAAACGTGTGAAATGGGATGAAAGTACTTTCCCTGTCCCATTTATATAGGTGTAATTTCCTGATTTTCGTCTCAATTATATGGTCCCGTTTCTTTATTAAACTTATTTTGTTTTGTTCATTTACTAATATACTATTATTTGATTTACCTTGTTATAACTAATTTTTTTCACTTAATCTTGAAATTGTACAAATATAAATAAGGGTTAACTAGACAAGTTATTAGCAAAAATTGCTTTTTCAATAACATTAAATAAAATTTCTTAATCCGTGCGATAAAAAAAAACTAATAAAAATGGGACAGATGTAGTAATTAAAATTGATCTCTTGCTCCCATTAAGTAGGGGGTAGAATTAAAACTTTTCATTGTTGACATGTGTACACTGGGGGTGGGAGATCTGGCCCATGAAAGTAATTTATACATGCATTGTTCTTCTGTAAGTACATTTTTTAATGATGTGCATAAAGGAGTTCATTTTATCTCAATATGTACACATACATTTGATTCCTAACATTATGCTCACATTTGATTCCCATTTTTCTAAGATTGAGAATGAAAAATATAGTTATTACGGAACTCACATAAAAGATAGAAAGTCAAATATGGTGGTTTGATGTGATGGATAACGGTCATATTTTTTATTTTTGGAGCCAAAGATTCAGAATCAAACGGGGGCTATATTAGTTTGGACTCTATAATTTTAATATTTTATAAAGTCCACTCTATCCAACAAATTTGTAAACATGGGAAAGCACAAATTTAATGGCCTTACAGCATTACAAGTGAACAAATACTCAAGAGAAGATAAAAATGTTCAAGCGAAGAGTTAAAACTGGTTCATAGATAAGTAGAAATCTTGTGATGAAGATCAGTATCCATGCCATTGTAATGAGCAATTGGAGCAAACATCCATAAATCATCTGAGCTTAACAACTGCAAAGACAGTACAGAAAATTTAGTTGAAGGAAAACAGAAAATCCTAAATCAAGTAGCTATAAATGAAGAAAAAAATCAAAATTTGTGTTGCTTAATTCATACTGTTATGCATATAACAGCTAAAATTTTCAACTCGTGATGTGTGCTTACAAGCTTCTTCCATTGACAGTACTAAAGAATAATTATAAAGGTTATAATATTGTCTATTATCAGTGTTCTAAAAAGCGGTGTCTAGTCCTAGGATAAGTAGGCGCGAAACGCCCAGCCTCGATCCTTTTTTTTTTTTTTTTATTTTTTTTTGCCTTCTTTTTTTTTTTTTTACTTTTTTTCAATTATTAAATACTTTTTAAATTGACCGAAACTTGGCTCTCCACGCCACGCCACGCCACGCCTTGCCAAGCTTTATGCTTTTCATAACATGGTTTTATTATGCAGGCCGCCACTTTTAGATTGCTAAACTTTTCAATTCGTGATGGCTCCACAGAAGTTCTACATGATAAAATAAATGATGATAGAAAGCATTGTTTCCCTTGCCTTGATTTGCAGCTGTAAGAACTTGACATAATGGACAGCCTCTTCTAGCATAGTGCTAATGTCGACCTGAGGTAGTTCATTATGAAAATCAGTTAGAGTATTCCCTTTTTCCTTGAATGTAGTTATGGCCATATTTTGTACGTTTGTCTGAAAAGAACAATCAGAGAGAGAAGTAACGTTTCATAAAATTTATGAGTCATCTTGTTCATTCAGACATACCAAACATGCCACCTCAGTATGTTTCAGGAAAGATTTAGTGATATTATGCTTACCTTTGTCCCATTGGGTACAAGATTTTGCAAGATTCTCAGCCTCTCATTGATTCTTTCCCTTCTTCTCTGCGAAATATCATAACAATGTAAAATCAAAACGTTGAAAACATATAATTAACTGGGAATCTTTTAATCGTGTGGGTTGACATGTTACCCTTGCATAGAGGTTTTGGGGATCAGTTGCAGAACCTCTGCTGGCTCTTCTTTTTCCGTTCGAGTTAATGGTGGCTAAGCCTTGGGGCTCTGAAGTTTCTTCATTTGATTTGCGAGAGCTATTAGAATAATCTTCAATGCTACAAGAACTAGAGCTCTGTCCATTTCCTCTAGCATTATAGGTATCTTCTCGGTCATTGCTATTTCGGATCAATTTCTTGCTATTTTTCGATTTTGAATCTTCATTCCTTTTATTTTTTGGTGCCTGCATTCGAAACCGTAACTCATTGGATATAATGACGAAAATACGGGGAGGAGTTTAAATGGTCAAATATAAAACTATTATCTTATCTAGTACTGCGTGTCAAATATGAATTTTATTTAAAATGGGATAGCCATGAGTACTCTCAGTCAACTATCACATATGAGACTGGATGTGGGCACGTTTATTGGGGCAATTTCGTAGAACACGAAAAATAAAACTAAATTCTTTATATATACTCACATCTCTAGAAACCCGACGCGGTAGTTTGTTAGGGTTTTCAGATGAATTATCCTCTTCAGCTCCATTCTGAATCATTCTGAATTTCTGGAGGGTTGAATTTCCTCTTAAGCTGCATAGAATCATCTGTTGCTGAAGGCTGACTTTCTGCATTGCCCAATTGGTTAGTGCCCCTTTCTTCTTTCATACAGATCAGAGTTTCTTCCATCAAATCATCAGAAGAGACTGGAAACCTTTGATCAGAGGACTCAAATTCTTTATTTATTACATGGAAAAGATTATCTCCATTGTCTTCATAGGGACGCAATTCATTACAACTTTCTTGAGAATTATGGTAAAGGTTAGTGATAAGAGTAGTATCAGAAGAGAATAAAAGACTCTCATCGAAAACTGAAGCCACATTTTCATCGTTAAGCACGAAATCTGGTGGGATTTCGAAGCTGAAAACGTGGTTAGTGTGATTCGAAAACGAATCATGATCAAGCAAATGGAGCATGAAATAAGGATTTTGATCACTTGAAAGCATTCTGCTCAATGATCCCCAAGATTCTTCTTCAAAAAAAGCCTCAACAGACTCCATCTCCTTTGGAAAAAAAGGTCTTTGGTAAATTGGGAATGACAAGTAAATTTCTGATAGTTGAGCTAATTATAATACGCGGTTGGAATCACAGAAAATTCAGTCACATATATATAGTAGTACCCCAGAAAGAAAGAATTGTTCATGGTAAGAATTAGCTTGACTTTTCTATTACTTTGTTCTTTTGAATCAAAATATTTAAATAGTTTGGTCCTAATACTTTGTATCCTATCTCACGAGTCAACTTGTGACTCAGCAAAATACAACTCAGAGGGGACCGAGTTCATCCAATGATGAATTAAAATATTTTCATTCCTTCCAAACCCAACCTTAAGGGCTTCATCGTCCCGCTCCTAAATTTTTGTGAGGCCCCAACAAGTCAGGGAATAAAAGCTGCCTGTACATTGCGCCTATAAGGAGTCCAATCCCTTGTTTTAGGAATCGAACCCCCACACTGCGGCTACTAGCAAGGCGTGAGATAACCTCACTCCTATCCTTTAAACCACTAAACTATGCCGCAGAAAGCTATTTTCATTCCTTTCATGGTCTTAAGAAATCTTGCTAGACAACAATAATGACAGTAACAAGGAATTAAGTAAATTTCTCAACAAACGATAGATCAAATTGATGAAGTACTTTTTGTCACTTTATTGCAGTGTTCTAAAAATCAAAAAGTGTGGCGAAGCAGGGAGGCTAAGTTTCGATCTAAACGAGCTTAGGCTTAGACAAGACATAATAAAGCGTAAAAAAAAGAAAAGAAAATCTTCTTATTTTAATATTATTTTAAATTTTTAAGTCAATCTAAAATTTATTTAATAATTAAAGAGAAAAAAGCGTAAAAGAAGTTTTAAAAAAGCGTAAAAAAAGTGTGACTACGAAAAAGAATAAAAAGAAAAAAGCAAAATGAAAGCGCGAGATAAGACATTTAGCCCCCGCTTCATGACTAAACGGTGCTTTTTATAACATTCCTTCATTGTTAAACCCACTAGAACATGTATAGCTACATCTAGGTTCTTAGCATGAATCATTAGTTTTGTTGTGCGTCTCTCGTCTCACTTCTCTTGGAAATGCTAGTTGTCCAATTAAAACTAATTAGAATTGTTGAGTGTCTTGACCTAATCATTTGGTAATCGTTAATATAATTCAATTCGTGTTAAATGATAATATAGTTCGGTGAATGAAAGTGAGAGTACTTAAAAGAAAAAGAATTGGAGGAATGAGTCGAGAGAACGTGGAATCATTTCTTTAATATGATAATCAGTGAGAATTCTGTTGAGTAATAAAGAAAATGAATAAGTATTGCATTACTTAAATTACTCTAAATCCGACATGTTGACCTCCAACCTCAGCCGTTGTCCCTTCGAGTGCCTAAACATTAAGAATTATTTTATTCACAGTTAATGACTACAATAGTCATCCTATTCGATAACTTCTTAATTTAAGTATTAATTTATTGTAATTCTGTTGACTCAAATAATGAGTTAATGTCTCAAATAAAAAACCGATATATATGATGACTACTGCACCCACTAATTATGAATAGCAGTGCTCATCAGTTAATCTGTTGTCAACAGTTAAAGTCAATACTTCATTGAAGATTTATGTGGTGATATATGCTTTGTCACAAAAAGGAATTTTCATTTATAAGAACGACACAATTATAAAATAAAATAAAATAAATACAATTTATTATTATTATTATTATTTTTTTTTTTTAAATTTTCTAGTAGATGCACTAATGATATCTGGCATATTCATGAAATTGAACTCATGTAGTCGAGTTGCAAATTTATTAGAGTAGAGGCTTAATCTTTGTTTGGTGGGGGATTGCAATTAAAATTTAATTTAAATTAAAGACAACAATTTTTAACAACATTGGTGACCTTAGAAATTTGATCCACAAATCATGCTCACCTAACTTTGATTTTCACTTTCTAAACTCTTTAATTTTGATGCTCAAGCTGGAGTATGAAGGAAAATAGTTATTTGAAAGTGAGATATTTAAATTACATTCATGTCTTTTCAAATGAGGGAATATTTCTAGATTTTTCTCCAGACCTTAGGATAATTGGGCTATTTTGAGAAAATGTCAAATGTCGTCTTCTTATGGTTCTATTTTGAGAAAATGACAAATGTCGTCTTCTTATAGTTATCTTATAATTGATTCGGTTAAGAATCACGCTTTATCAATTGAGTTAGAGGACAGCCTAGATGGAGAGGGAGGTTCGTCTATTTTAAGCACACTTCTTAGGTTTTCACTTCTGCAGAGTGTACCCTTGCTTAAATAAGATATCACCTTGTAGTGTGTATCTAGCAGCTCTTATTTGCAATTTTTGTGCTACCATTTTATCCTCAGGAAAAATTTCATCTTTTATATAAAGAAATGATATCTTGCATCCATGAAGTTTTATCTTGTATTCATAGGATTCTCTCTCTCTCTCTCTCTCTCTCTCTCTCTCTCTCTCTCTCTCTCTCTCTTTTTTTTTTTTTTTTTTTTTTTTTTTTTTTTTTTTTTTTTTTTTTTTTTTTTTTTTTTTTTTTTGTTTTTTTTATTTTTTTTTTTTCTTTTATGTTGTTTTAAATAGCTCTACTTCATTTCAAAAACTTGTCAATTTTGACAAATCATCTAGGTGCTCATTTTCCTATTTGGGAATTTGGTTGAGTTTAAACTTTTCGAAGCACAGAAATAATCTTATGGCTTCTGTGAGATACACAGCCATTGTTTTGTCCTTGGCCGTGATCATACCATTTATCTAGTTCACACCAATTACAAGTCGCTTTTTATTTCAATATTTCAAGCTTGCATTTTTTAGCGACCCGTATGTCCATCAATGGTTCTTCGAACTCAACCACATTATTGATTGCTTTAATCATGAACTTTAACCCTAATTCAATTTATGCACTTCTGGGCTCATTAAGATTATATTTGCTCCATAGCTAGTATCTCCTAATGATCTATCCATCAACAATTTTCATGTTCCATGTTTGGGCTCTTTCTCAATGACTAGAATATCTTATAATTTTGCAATAAAGTCATTTAATGCATGTGTTTTGTTTACAGAGCATCTTTTATAGCTTATTTCAAATTGTCCCAGCTCTACATCAATTTCATTAATCTCCTTGAACATCAAGCTTTGCAGTACTTGTTTGAAAGAAAAAGTTGTTAATATTTTAATGCCGTGGCTCTGGAAAAATAGTGTTGCAAATTCCACAACATCGTAACTAAGGCAAGGGCTAACTTTTTCCATATCCGGATATCTAGCATTTGATTCTTACAGGGCTTTACTTACATAGTAGACTAGTAATTATTGTTGCCCCTTCTCGTTTTGGGTTTAGGTAATAGGAGTACTTTCCCTAGACAATCTTTTAGGGATTCAAATGCCCATTTCCATTCATTGCTCTATTCGAACTTTTTTCCTCCTTTCAGCACTTGGAAGAAAGGGGAACATTTATTCGTTGCTCGAGATATAAATGTACTTAGGATGGCAACCGCCTTTCTATTAGGCTTTGTAATTCTTTTCGTTTAGATGGAAACCTCATTTTTATGAGGGCCTAAATTTTGTCGGGGTTCACTTCAACAACATGCTAATTGACCACATATTTGATGAACTTTTCGAATTTTACTCCAAATGCCCATCTTAACGGATTGAGTTTCATCCTGTATTTTCATAATACAGTGAAAGTCTCTTCCAAGTGTTTCAAGTGGTCTTCAGCCTGAAGGCTTTTAATATGTAGTCCTCGTACTTTTTTTGCCCAAATGACATTTTGTTATAACAATGTAGTCCCTAACTATCACGAATGTGGCATGTTTCTCATCATGCCCATACATAGGGATCTGATTGTATCTCGAATATGCATCCATGAAGCTTACTAGCTCATTTCTTGTAGTTGCATCCAATAATTAATCAATTCTGGGGAACCAGAAGCTGTCTTTAGGACACGCTTTATTCAAGCCCTATAAAATCTTGGTAAGTTCACCATTTTTCATTGCTTTTTAGTATTAAGATCGGATTACATACCTAAATTGCATAGCGAGCTTCGTCTAATAACTCATCCACCTTACTCTTTAATGCCTCATATTCTTTTGACTTTAATTGGTTGGCGCCTTTTTATCTTAGGTTTGATCTTAGGGTCGAGCTTCAAGGCATGACATGCTACTTTGGGATCAATCCCTATCGTGTCCCCATGCTTC